CAGCAGCTCAGGAGGCTGAGGCAGGAGGATCACAAGTTCAAAGCCAGAAATTTAGCAAGGCCCTGTCTCAAAATTAAAAAATGAAAAGGGCTGGGGATGTGGCTCACTGGTTAAGCATTTTTGCACAAAAGGGACCAGGTCGGACACAAACTTCACAGGTCAGCACAGCTTTTATTTGAGAGCAGAGTGACGCCTCTGCTGGTGGAAAATGAGCCACCGGTCAAAGGGGACGTTTATGCATATATAGGTTACACATTAGAGGGGACTTAATTAACGAGTCTGTCAGTTTGGGCACTCAGAGATTTGAGATCTGTTCTTACTGGGCAAGATGGGGGGTACTTGGAGTAAGTGGTCAGTATCTGGGCTCTGTCTTTACTGGGCCGGATGGAGGGTCTGGGGAAGGACTTGTTTTGGGAAGGATCAATGTCATTCCAGACCTGATGGATTGGGAAAGGATCAGTGTATTGCATTCTCCCTCATCCCCTCTCCCCAGGCCACATTATTTTGAGGTTTGTCATTTTCTGTATCCAATAAAGCACCCCTGGGTTCAATCCCTGGTACCAAAAACAAAAACAGTGATTGTTTTGTCAAAAAGCATTTTCCCCTCATGCTATTCTTGTGATTGATGAGTTTGCCTACATGCACTTCCTGACATATTACATGCCAGACAGGAGTTAGCTTTGTTCCAAAACAGAAAGCCGGTGGGGATGGAGAAGGCTGCGATGGAATCCCAGCTCTGATCCAAGGGCAGTGGAAAGCAGCTGGAGTGCTTTTGCCAGGGAGTGATACAAGCAGATTGACCTTTTAAAAAGACCATCCTGGCAGGCATCAAAGCAGGGCAACCAATAAGGAAGCTCTTATAATAAGGCAGGTGGGAGTTACAGGTGCGACAGTGGAGATGACAAAGGTAGATGTGCTGGGTGTGCACTTCCAGGGGGAACCAACAACTCTTGCCAATGGAGTAGACAGAACGTGAGGACTTACAAGCTCTCAGTTTAAACAATAAGTGGATTTGGGGACCACTTATTTAGAGGAAATATGGTTAGGGGCTGTATCATGTAAAAGAGGATGAGAAATCAAAGGTTGAAGTTGGGACACACTAAACTTGGGATTCTAATTTAAATATTTACATATTCAAAGAAAAGTAAAGTGGTATTTTCTAGAATGGTCAAATTTACCTCATTATTCCCATAAGTCAATAAGTTTGATAAGTTCGGGCTTATCAAAGCATTCACCTTCGAAGCCACATCAATTTTTATAGCAGCTCCACTCACAATTGCTGAACTATGGAACCAACCTAGGTGCTCTTCAACAGATGAATGGATAAAGAAAATGTGGTATATATACACAATGGAATATTACTCAGCCTTAAAGAAGAATGAAATTATGGCATTTGCCAGTAAATGGATAGAAATGGAGAATATCATGCTAAGCAAAATAAGCCAATCCCCCAAAACAAAAAGCCAAATGTTCTCTGTGATATTTGGATGCTAATTCATAGTAAGTGGGTGGGGCTAGGGAAGAATATAGGTGCTTTGGATTAGACAGAGGGGAGGGAAAGGAGGAAAGAGGATATGGGAGTACCAAGGACAGTAAAATGAAACAAGCATTATTACCCTATGTGCATATATGATCACAGGATAGGTGTAATTCTATATCATGTACAACCAGAAGAATGAGAAGTTATACTCCATTTTTGTATGATGTGTCAAAATGCGCTCTACCACCATGTATAACTAATTAGAACAAATTTAAAAAGTAGTCACCTAACTTTTCTGCTGCTTCCTTTCACCTCCTTTTTTTGGCTCATTCTACTCTACCTTTGTATAATCATCATTTCAAATTTTGCCCTTTGAGGTTTTTTTGGTTTTTGCTTTGGGTTTTTTTTTTTGTTGTTGTTGTTGTTGTTGCTGTTGTTATTGGTACCAGGGGTTGAATCCAGGGATGCTTAACCAATGAGCCACATCCCCAACCCTTTACTATTAGTTTTTATTTTGAGACAAGGTCTCTTTAAGTTGCTGAGGCTGGCCTTGAATTTATAATCCTCCTGCCTCAGCCTCATGAGTTGCTGGGATTACAGGTGTCTGCCACCACACCTGGCCAAAGTTTACTTCTTATAAAAAGAATTTTTCTACTTTCCCAACCCTCAGTGGAATTTACCAATAATTATTTCCTGTTCCAACCACATTTTCTGGCAACCCACAATATATCATCTTCTGGTGTTTTCCACTTGCTCCATTATCCCTTAAAAATATGGACTGCCTAGCTGAGCACCTGTATTTCCCACTCTGGGTAATATAATGCTAGATATGAACTTGAATTTGACACAGGACAAACTAGAGGAAAACAAGTTACTCAGAGGCACAAAATTTAAGGTGCTCACTAATAGTGAAATTGTAGGGCCAAGGAATAAGTACATTTAAAAAAAATATGTATTATATAACCAATACTGTCTTCTTAAAAGATAGTACCAATTATAATGCCTCCAAAAGCCAACCAGTCTATAATTGTTGCAAAACTTTGTCAAGACTAAATGTCAGCCAGGTGTGGTGGTGCATGCCTATAATCCCAGCAACTCAGGAGGCTGAAGAAGCAGGAGGATCACAAGTTCAAGGTCAGCCTCAGCCAATTTGTGAGGTCCTAAAGACTTAATGAGACCCTGTTTCAAAATAAAAAGTAAAAAAAAAAAAAAAAAGAGCTTGGGTTGAACTTTTCATGCTTTTGAAATAGCTCTGCTAAAATGCTCCCTCAGAAGAGTTAAGTAGCAGGAATCAGAAAGACAAGATGTCATCTCTGTGGGAAAATGTATACAGTGGCCAAAACAGAGGCAGAGGTTAAAGAAATGGCTAAAGGCATGCTGACCAAGGGCCAGAATTATTAGGAGAAATACAAGATTTTTAGGTTGACCAAATTTTCAAGCTTCAGAACTTTCTGATTATGTGAAATATACATCCCAAGCCCAGTAGTGCCTTTTTTTCACCCAAATTACTATCCTCTCCTACATGTTTCTGTGACATTGTTTTTACACAGCTGGTATATCTCTGCAATCCTTGAAGGTGATATTTTGTGTTAACAAGCTTTGTGGTTGGAGGGCTCAGCAGCTTTCTACAGAGTATGCAATGAATGTTAAGTTGAAATCTTGAAATACCTCTAGTGGGCCAGGCATTATCAATGACTCCTTGATAACTTTAGTAGGTAGGTCTTATTTTTCCAATTTTCGATATGAGGAAATCAACTCTTGAGTTGACTCTCAGAAGCAATGTAGCTAACAAGTCATTTGCCTAGGATTTTCTCTCATGTCAACTCAACTCCAAACTATGGTTGTTATTACTACCAATGTCTTTATACCTTTATTGTTAATATTAGTATTTCTTCCTTTTTAAATACTGGTGTAAGCAGGGCATAGTGGCACACACCTGTAATCCCAGGAACTCAGGAGGCTGAGGCAGGAGGATCACAAGTTCAAGGGCAGTCTCAGCAACTTAGCAAGGCCCTAAGTAACTTATGGAGACACTGTCTCAAAATAAAAAATAAAAAGGGCTGGGGATATAGCTTATACATAGAGTGCCCCTGGGTTCAATCATCAGTACCAAAGGGACAAAAACTTGTTTAGAGTCTTTGAATTTTTTATTTCATAATTTAACCTGTCAAAAGACACAATTCCAACAAATTAGTGTAAAGATCTGATTAGCTTTTATTTGTGATTGGAGAATTAAGCAATACCTCATTCCCCAAAAACTGTGCAGAGGAGGTTAGCTCTATGGGCTGACAGGAACTGAAGGAAGCAGGAACAAAAAAGAAGTTATTGCAAAATACTTTCCTGATGGGGTCAAAACAGAGGGCGTTCTTCCTTATATTGTTGTCTCAATTTGACTGGAATCTCCTATTTTTGGAAAACTGGACTCGTCCAAAGATCTCTTTGATTACAGGACACTCAGCACAAATGACAGCATTCTGGTTTCGTTTGTCTGCTGGGACCTATGGCCGGAGGGAAGTCCAAAACAATAGGCTCCCATAAATTTTACTCAATAAAACTGCTCAGAAATGAGAGTGCCCAGCCTACCTGTCACTTACTTGGAGGTTGTTTAGAATGGGAAATCTTCCCTGGTGGAACAAGGCTGTTGTGTTAAATCATACCTGCCTAGCCTAGAGGGCACATACCAAGTCCCAGGACAGCCGATTCCTAGCTGCCACCTACTAGCCACTCAGCATTTCTTTGTTTCAGTTTCCTTGTCAGTCAAATGGGATTAATAATTGTACCACCCCCACAGAATTGTGGGGACAATTCAAGAAATGGATACATGCAAAAAGCATTTGTGGCCCTGTTTAACAGTAAGTAATCCTTGAATTCTCAATCTCTGCCAGGGAAAACAAAGCAATCCAAATTAGAAAGAAAAGAAGTGTCTAACTGGGTATGGAATTCCAGGTAGCCAGCTTTCTCCCAAATGTTCCCTGCAAGCTCCACAATTAAAATACGGTGTACACCTGTAATCCCAGTGGCTCAGGAGGCTCAGGCAGGAGGATCTGGAGTTCAAAGTCAGCCTCAGCAATTTAGCGAGCCTCTCAGCAATGTGGTCAGACTGTCACAAAATAAAACACCAAAAAAAGGGTATGGGGGGAGGAAGGATAGGATGTGACTCAGTAGTTAAGCACTCCTGATATCAAAAAAATAAACAAACAAATAAATAAAAATATGGCAATAAATATGTACTAAGTGGTATTTATTTATTGAATTAAAAGAGGAAAACGAAATTTAAAAATTAGCAAGCTCTGCCTGCCAGGTCAAATCGATCAAACTACACAATGAATCAAATCTTTTCCTGCCCTAAAAGATGTATGAGTGTACTTAACATTTGTAAGAAAAAGAACACGCCTTATTTGGCAAGACATAATTTTCATTCTTAAGATAAGAGAAACAACTTAAAAAGCACTTTTGCCTGGATTGCACTGGCCAATCAGAACTCCGGATTTGTTCTTTGTCCTACACTGCAGTAGAAAGCCTGTACCTCTCCACCGAAGAGCTTCCACTTCTAGAAAGAGCCTCTCCTGGGCCACAAGACACTTCCTGCTCCAAGCCCATTTTGTAATTGTAAGTACTTTTGAGATTAAGAACTTCTTTAAAAACTTATCTTAACACTGCAGGGGGGGAAAAATCGTTCTTTACAGAAATTTGATTTTCTTGTTTTTTGTTCCTAAAATGCCATAGTTTCAGCTGAAAGATCATTGCCTTCTTTATCTAATTGCTTTCAATTTCATAATTTTAGTCAAATTTTAGCGTTTTGCTACATACCATGCTTTCAAAGTAATGGAAGATACAAGCTTTGAATCCTCCTCAAATACTGCTTTCAGCAGGAAACACATATTATGAGTTGTATTTACTAACTTGATCATTAATTTCACCACATATGCATGTGTACTTGGGCTTGTCTAATTTCTCTGTGTGTGCAAAATATTTTATTTTATCTACATAAAACGTTTGGCAACAAGATATGAGAATACTGTACATTTAGCTAATGAATTATAAGAATCCTTGAATTCTCATTAGGAAAGTAAGAAAAACAGACTAACATCAAAATTAAAAAATTCTGCTATTCGCTGATAGGTATAAAGAAAGATCTCGCATTGGATAGCTTACATGAGAGATTATGTAATTTAAAATGCTTCAAGCAAAGCAAAAAAAATATAAATAAATATATAGTAGAAAGAAAAAAGAAATCTAAGTAGTATGCCTAGTATCTGGGTTAGTCAGTATTAATAGTACTTGTTAATCGATTAATGCAACAGAGCATATTAATAATCCTAATTTTCTAAGATCCTGGACTGTCCTCCACAACAGTGCAGTGGTCGCAGGCAGAGGAGTCAGGTACAAGGTTCATCCAACTATAACTAGTGTATAAAATCAAGATGTTCAAAATGTGAGCCAAATCCTGCAAGATTTCCTACAATGAGACTATTCCATGTAAAGAAAGTTCTAAAGAAAGGCACTGTCACCTCACTCTTCAAGGCTTATCCACCAAGATCCCCACTTCGGTTCTTCCTGCCTCCATTTTTCCTTTTTCCTGAGTAGCTCCCACCAGTTTTATCACTCTTTCTGTTCTGTGGGATCCAAGATGGCACGAAACCAAACAAATGCATGGTCCGGCAGTGATGAGGAGAGCTGCAGGCCATGGAGAGAGAACCGACATCTCGTTGGCACTTATCAAATATAGCACAGCTCTTACAGTGAGTGCTCAATACATATTTTCTAAATGAAATTGGACTTAGTTATTCATAACAGAAGAAAAAGGAAAAGGCAAGGACTTGGTGATACAAAGTATGCTCAGCTAGGCCCCTGACACGTGAGGGCTCTTTATTGGTGGGCAACTAAGGGGCCATGAAGTGGTTTAGCATACAGCTCCTTGGGCATATGGAAGGCTCTGGCATGTGTTACATCTTCCTGGAGAAAGGACACATTTTTCTAATTCTCACTAAACAGCCACAAATTCACCAAGCTGAGTCTACACAGAAGTGCCACCTTTTTCAGTTTTGCATGATAGTGACCTATGGTACAGGAACAGCAGCCCTGCAGGTGAACATCACAGATTCTAGAACCTTAGTCTGTTCTACCTAAGGTACAGTTTCTAAAGATAGTGTCCAGATATCTTCAAACTTTCCAAGTATTTTTTACACAGATTAAGTTTTGGGGATCGATGAACTAAGGGGTCAGGCACAAGCATAAGATCCCTGAAAAATCTTAGAAATACTCCCACACTAAGATCTCCAGGAATTTTCTTTTTTTTTCCCCCTCCACTTCCTTAAATGACTAAGGTTAAAGAAATTCTTGGATAGTTAATGGTTGAAGCAGAGCCAACTGCAGTTGTTTAGGATATTTTACATTTGCTTCTGTTTTATATTTGTTGCAACTTAAAAGAATCCTAGTATTTTGAAATGATCACAGAGCACCATAAGAGCAAATGTGTTGCTTTCTTCTCTCAGGGTGGTTGTCTTTTGTTTGTTTGTTTTGTTTGAGGGGAGGTTTTTTTATTTGCAGTGCTAGGAGCCAAATTTAGCTTTGCACATGCTAGGCATATACTCCCCCACTGTGCTACACTCCCTGCCCCTCATCTCAGGTTTGCAACTATGCAGAAGGTATCTCATAGGAGAAGTCACAAGGCTCTCTTCAAAATAAGCTTAAGGTGACAAGTGGCAATCCTGAATGTTAGTTCCCTCTAGGACTGCTCTTCTGGGCAGGACTGGGCAGAGCAGATTTCTCAACCACTGTGGGTAACTTTCACTGGAGAGGAACTTCTCTATTAGAAATCTCTTGGGGCCTCCAAGCTCCACTTCAGTTCCCAGGGCTAAAATGGCCACTGGAAGCACCTTGATCCTCACAGTTTCCCACATTTTAAAAGAGGAAGTCAATAGCAGTGGAAGAAACCAATGCATACAGCATTGACGGTTGGGCCAAAGACTGTGGTCCACCACAAGAAGGAAATAAACTTTCATACAAACTAACTGACAGTCAGCATATGGGTAATTTGGTTGCAGCTGCTTGCTTCAGACTACACAGATTGCCTATGATTGGACTTCAAAGGCACTCAGCAAATGTCCAGTCTCAAAGTTCTAGGAAGTCTAACAGTAGACAATTTGAATACACAAATACATATGTCATATAGTGAGGGAGGACAGTCAGGTATGGGAAAGGACAATCAGATAATGGCAGGCCAGTTTTTATTCTGAAATTTTTAGATTGCTGTTATTATATTTAAAATCACACTGTAGGTCCCTTGAAAAATAAATGAGCTAAAGGGACATGTTTTTCCTCTGAAAGAACTTACAGAAAGGATATTTATTCACTTACCCATTCAACTGCTATTTATCAAATAAGCATTGCTTCAGGTTTCAGAGGGGTGAATCACTAGCATGGTCCCTTTAAGTTTTTCTTTTAGTCTCTGGATTTGCTTTCGTTTCCAAACAGGCTATCTCTTGTTTTGATTATAAAAGAAATAAATGCAAGCTGTAATGTTTTGCAGGGCTGGGGCTCAAGCCAAGGACCTCACACATGTGAAGTGAACAGTCTCCACTGAGCTACACCCTCAGCACTAAAAGTATTTTCCAGACAATACAGAAAATTATAAAGATAAAAATGGGAAGGAAAAAATAAAAAACCTATCAGCCAATCACCCAACCATGTAACATTAGCCTTTCATAATTTTTCTGGTATTTGATTATTAAAAGGGAATACAAAAGAAATCTGAATATGCTTCTTTGAGCATGTCCTGTAATAACTTCTCCTCCAAAACACTATAGGAACCACTATCCAAAATATAATTTTTATCATTTTAGCACTGGAGTTCTGGATGTAGGGGGAGATCTGGAGCCCTAAGGGGTCTTGTGAAATGCGACCTCCCCAATTACTGAGTGTTTTCCAGCGCTAGGCACTTGGCAGTGTTTAAAATTTGGGGGGGGGGGGGGCAAATGGGAATTGAACCCAGGGGCGCTTAACTTCTAGGCGACACCCATAGTTCTTTTTATTTTTTTTATTTGAAACAAGGTCTCATTAAGTTCCTTAGGGCCTCAGTTGCTGACGCTGGCTTTGAACTCTGGATCCTCCCGCTTGGCAATGTTTCAAATGCATTTTTCTCTCTGGACAGCAAGCACAGCCTGGGCAGGATGGAAAGAAAAGAAAGTGGGCGCGGGGCTGGGGACGCCGTTAGCGAGCACCGACTGGATACCCGGTGTCTGCTAATGTCTCAAAACCGTAGATCAAAGTTCCCGGTCCTGTAGTGCTTCCTTTTCTCCCAAGCAAGCTCATTATTGAGGAAGGGGTAAGCAAGGGAAACTGAATTATCTCAGTTTCTTTACTTCCCAGTTTCTGAGATGGACGGGATGCGTTTAGAGAGCTGTGCTTGCGTCCCGTTGATATGGGAAGTGGGCACAGGAATCGGACCTAGGACCACCTACCAAGCGTCCACATCCCCGTCTTACTTTCCGATCAGTGCTGTGAGCAGACACCATTTGCTGTCAGGTTCCACACTGATGAACGCTGGTGAGACTGGCGCCCGAGGTCCGGCGGAGCGAGCAGCCCCCGGCCAGCTCCCTGCGGCTGGAGCTCCTGCTCCTGGGCATCCCGGACGCCCGCGGCGGTTCCCGCCAAGTCCCCGCGGGCCGCGGCCGCCCGGATCCAGCCGCCCAAGTTCCAAGAATCTGTGGCTCCTTCCCTCCCGCCAGCCCCCCCCCCCAGGTGCAACCACCTGGAGCTGGTTGTCCCAGATTGCGTGAGCGTCCTCAGTGTCTGCCTGCGGGGGACTCTGTGCTGGCTGCCCTCACCATTCAGAGGCAGATGAGGTCTGGTCCTAGCAGAAGTGACCCACGGGCGGGAGGCAGAATGGGAGGGAAGCGGCAGAAAACCTCCCTCACCCAACTTCGACTGTGTCACCATCCCTTGTCCAGCCGTGGCAGAGGAGTCCCACAGCCGCTGCGGGGAAGGGACTTTAAACTGAAGCCCAGGGGTACGCCCCCACCTCTCTGCTTCTCTGACCCTGCTCCCTAGAAAGAGTGCCAGAGCCAGAGTGCAGCCAGACAAGTTCACTCTGTCCCTTCCTCCCCTGATGAAACCAGGCATGATGTTGGTATCATGCTATTCGTTACTTAATCTGTAGATCTTCCTCGAATTTGACCAACTGACCCACGAATGTTCTAGGAAAGAGAAAAGCAGCCCAAGACGGGAAGAAGCTAGTGGGGCTACCAGCCAGACTTTGTTGCTTGTAGGTTGTTGCTTGCCTTCACAGAGCATTAGCATCAGATAAAGGTACTGTGACCATAATGGATCAAGATAAAAACACCAGCATTCCATAGTCATACCTGGACACCATGAACTTTAAACATTGTCCAAGTAGAAAAAAAAAATATTTCCCTTTTCTGGCTAATAGAAATGACTGCTGCCACTTTACGTGTTGCACATTTAGCCTTCTCTTGCCAGCTCTCCTCACAGATGATTTATTAAAATTGCCTGGTCATAAAATCGCCTGCACTTTCTGACAGCTCCTCCACCTCCTCGGATCTTTTCCAAGTCACTCAATGAAAGCCTAAATTCTCTAGGAGTTTTGTAACACCGAGACATTCCGCAGTTCCCTATCCTGTGCTTTCTCCCTTGCACAACTAATAAGCTCTTGTACAAGTAATAAGCCCTACTTGTTCAGCTACAGTTACTCTTGATAGTCTCCTTCTCAAATAAGAGGTCATTCTTTATGGCCAACTCCCACTTTAGAAAGATGGAGGGAAATTAGAGTTTTATGATTTGCCTTGGAGAAGGGAAATTCTAGTTTCTACAACCTGCCTTGAGGATGAAGTTATGATCCAGGAACCAGGAAAAAAAAATAATATATATATATATATATATTTGGTGCCTCAGTGGGTCCCCAAGTGCTGATACTGCCCTATCTGTTTAATTTTTTTCTCATTCTTTTGAGACAGAGTCTCACTGTGTTTCCCAGGCCGGCCTTGTACTCCTAGATTCAAGTGATCCTCCTGCTGCAAAAACTCCTAAGTTGCTAGAACTACAGGTGCATTTCAGCTCATTTATTATGCCATCGTATGCACCTGTAGTTTGGTCACAAACCTGAAGTTTGGTCAAAGCCATGTTGGAGTGATCTTGAAAGACCCACAGGAGGACTTGTGATCTTTAAAACAATGTGTGATATGTGTGTGTGTGTGTGTGTGTGTGTGTGTGTGTGTGTGTGTATGTGTAACCATGAGTTCATACCTATATTCCAATCTAACAGCACAGGACTCATTCTAGCCTTCCTCTTTTCCTTATCTGTAACTTCTTTCTCTAACAGTGAAAAACTTTGAACCTTGATCTTATTATCCACGACATATATATAAGTGGAGATATATAATATATAATATTCCATGTAAGTTCAAAGCCAACTGGGGGAACTTAAAACCTATCTAAAAAATAAAAATAAAAAGAGCTGTGGATGTATCTCAGTGGTAGAGCACTCCAGAATTCAACCCTCCCTGCCCCACACACACAAAAGAAATTGCATGGTGCTTTGATACTACACTCAGTAATGGGAAGGAGAAGTGCCAGTAGGTATCTACTGATAATGATTATGTCCAACAGATACAAATATTCAAAATAACATTTTAAGTCTATTTCTTTTTTTAATTAAACAACTTTATATCCTCCTCCAGAATAACCAAGCATCCTTAGCATGTGGCTATTTGCTAGGATTCAGAGAACCATCTGTAAGACCAGATCTAATTGAGCTACAATTACAGCCTTAGACATGTTTGAAGCATCTCTATCATTCACTTCCCATTGTGTGAAGAAATAACTGAGACATTGCTTAGCTTTTCAAACTCTTCTTGATTTCATATACTGCTCTCTTTTCTTGTTCAAGGGGACTACCAAGCTAGCAGGTGTTTCTAAGTAATGAGATCTAGAAAGAAAGCAGCTAATTCAAGAAATAGGAGAAGTGCAAAATAATTTGAAAAAATAGAGGCCACTTGTCTGTTTTTGAAATTGGTCTATGTGGGAAAGAACATAAGAGAACAAGGAATGTAATAACATTGCTAAAGTATCTAGAGGCACTATATTTTAAAATTTTTAGTGTTTTTCTTTTGTGCTTTTATAAATATGTGCTGAATTCTTTTTTTTTAAAGAGAGTGTGAGAGAACAAGTGAGAGAGTGAGAATTTTTTAATATTTATTTTTTAGTTATCGGCGGACACAACATCTTTGTTTGTATGTAGTGCTGAGGATCGAACCTGGGCCACACGCATGCCAGGCGAGCGCGCTACCGCTTGAGCCACATCCCCAGCCCTGTGCTGAATTCTTAAGTGGAAATGTATTACATCCCAGTATCTATGTAGCACACTGTGAGTCATGTATATTGTAAGTGCTTCATTCTATAAGACAACTGAAAGTACCTCTGAGGACCCAAAATGGAGCTTGATGCTAAAGTTCCTGTTCTCCAGGGGGTCACCACAAACCAGTGGCAATGTCACACTGTCATAAGTGCTAGGGGAAGCAGGCAAGGGGAGAAAAAGAGCCTGTGGAGCGAGCCAGAAAGAACTTGAATTTTACTATTTACTTAATTTCTCTGAGCTATTATTTCTTTATCTACTAAAAAAAAACAAGATAATAATTTCTACTTTGCAGAACTGTTCTGAAGATTAAAGGGGCAGTGTGATTCCAATATCATGCCTGATGTAATGTAGAAACTTAATGAATATTAGCTGCTATACCAGGCAACAAGTGTTTATGAAAATCATCAAGACATTTCCCTTCTATATTTTTGTACATTGTGGCCAACTTTGTTTATATTTTTTTGATTCTTTGAAAAATTTTTTTCTTAGTGAATTAAAATTATCTTTTATTTTATTTATTTATATGCAGTGCTGAGGATTAAACCCAGGGCCTCACATATGCCAGGCAAGTGCTCTACCACTGAGCCACAGCCACAGCCCCTTGGTGCATTATAGTTACACGTAATGGTGGGATTCATTATGCCATATTCATACATGCACATACATAATTTGGTCAATCTTGGATGAGGTTGGGGATCCCTGTATTTTCCCTTGTTTGATGAGGATAATGTTCATTAAATTCATCCACAGAGATAATGGGAGCTGGGCAGGTCAGAAACCATTCCCATTTTACACATTAATAAATGGAAATTCATGTGTCTAGTTCAATAAGTAATCTAAGATCACAAAGTTTCAGAAACCATGATATGAGCAAAGATGTTCTCACTTCAAATCTTACTCACGTTCCATGACCTCACACAGCCTCTCACTATGGAGTGAAGTTAGGAACAACCTAACAAAATATGTTTTATGTGGGGCTGGGATTGTGGCTCAGTGGTAGAGCACTCCGCTAGCATGGGTGGGACCCGAGTTTGATTCTCAGCACCACATCTATGTCCATCTATGCCTAATAAATAAATAAATAAATATTTTTTAAAAAAAATAAAATATGTTTATGCAAACCTTGCTGGAGGCCAGAAGTGCAGCTTAGTGGTAGAGTTTGCCTTGTATTCTCCAGGCTCTGGGTTCATTCCCTAGAGCCAAAGGGTAGAGGGAACTTAGCTGGGACATACTCTCGGGGCTTACCCCTACGATGTGGCAAGAGTCTGTCAAACCAGCACTGACAAAAGGACCCAGGCTTTCAGTAAACTGGAAGTGATGGATCAGCCTGGATGCAGGGAGATTGAAGAGGACTGCTAATCAGAAACAAAGCCCAAACTAGAGAGAGCAAGATAAAGGAGCAAGAAAGGGAAGGGTAGCTGAGTATGATGGCGCGTGCCTATAACCCAGGAGACTTGAGAGGCTGAGGCAAGAGGATCATGAGTTGAAGGCCAGCCTCAGGAATGTAGCAACACCCTGTCTCAAAAGAAAATTAAAAGGGCTGGGGATGTAGCTCAGTGGTACAGCACCACTGACTTCAGCCCCCAGTGCTACCAAAAATAAATAAAGAAAGAAAAACAGTAAAAGAAAGAAAGAGGAAGGAGGGAACGCACACTTAAGCTTAAAATGATATAACATCAGATAAGAGGCCTTTCCACAGTTCACTACTTGCCATGATTCACTATCACATTTGTTTCCCTGTCTCGTGGATACCAGGTACCTGTCTAAAAATAGTACATGAACAGCCCTGTTCCATCCTGTGCCCCATGAGAAGCACCTGTTCACCTTACCAGTTCAGTGAATTCCTTTCCCCTGGGGCCCCCTGTCCTCTGAGGGGTGGAAATAGAAATCATGTTCTTCAAAGATCAACAGGCAACTTCATCTGAACTGCCTGGCTAGCCCGTGGAGCCCAGTGCTGCAGAAGTGAGCCTTTCCACCTCCAGCTGCTAATGCCAACATTTTCCTTTTCAGACCTTCCTTGGAAATGCAAAATCAGCCCACCGTCATTGTGACTCAACCTGGATTTACTCGTGCGCCCCAAAACTCCAACTGGCAGACGGGCATGTGTGATTGCTTCAGTGACTGTGGAGTCTGTAAGTGTGAGGGGGGGTGGATTACCAGCGTCCAGATCTTTCCCATGTTTCTCCCTTACTGTGTAGTAAAAATTCCTAATTTCTCACGGGCAGCTGTCAGGCAACAGTATGTTTAAGAAAAGGCTGTGTGCGGATCTTAAGTTAACCCTTCTCCAGCCAGTAAAGAATAGTCATACCCCCCAAATAAGTTGTGGGGATGAGAGAACAGTGAAAGGCATGATTGATTCTAAAGATGAACAGGTCTGGCCTAATCATGAAAAGCAGACTGTGCATTAATGAGAGAAATATTTCAAGTTTAAATTGGTTTTAAAAAAGACTGTTCTTGGTTACACATAAGTTAAAATCAGTATTTTATAATCACGTTATGTCCATACACCGTGTAGAGTTTTCACCCATAATTTCAGCACAAGCTTGGAGTAGAAGTATTTTAGTTTATACGTTTAGGTCTCCATGCACCTGAGAATAAAGAATTCCGAAGGCGATTAACTTCCCATTGGGGAAAAAATATCTCTGACTCTATTTTCATAAGATCTCTCTAAGTGAACTTGGAATCTCTATAAGTGAATTTCCTAGGGAAGTTTGGGACTGAGACAAGGGTGACAGAGGGGAGCAACCAAGGCGCTTTGTTCTCAATACCAGCTAAGAACCAAACCCACTTATAAAACATTTTCTCTGATATCTTCTCGTTTGTCTCAACTCTACATAGTATTCTTAGATAAGGAAAGAAAATACATTAGCCTTTAACTTACCAGTGAAATTGATCTTTGAACTGAACAAATTAATAATTAATTTGAGAAGCATTAAAAGGAAAAAATATCTAGGTAATGGAAGTTGGGTTTGTTTATTCACACGACTCAGTACATTAGTTCAACATTCGCAAATTCAAGTGATAATTGAGATGAGAGTAGTAAAAGTCTCTGCAGATAGACATTTTATCCTCCAACCCCTAGAATTATTAGCCAACTAAATGAATATACAAGTTCTCATACAAGCTTAATTGCTTCATGGCAGATGTTCTTAAATGTGAATCTGACCAAATCATTTTCCCTTCTGAAAGTACGTCAGTGGTTCTCGATGACTTTCACAACAAAATCTGGACACTCACAGTTCTCTATCAACTGATCCCCAGCCTGCTTTGCATCCCACCAGCTTCATCCACTACCCACCATGGGGCTCTACCCATACAGAATGAATCATAGCTTTGGCAGCTTGTGCCAAATAACCTCAAAGAGGGTGTTTCCTTTTGTGGATCTGTAGAAGTCCTAATCATCTTTCAGTGCTGAGCTCAGCAGCTCTTCCTACTCAGGACCTTGGCACCACTTCTGTGCATGATCCTTGTGTCTTGAGAAGGATCCTGCTGGATAATATTTTCTGTTACTTCCCCCACTGGATGTGGTCAGGGGCGCTGCTGGTACTGAGCATGATGGGTGGAACATGGCTAAGTGTTGGTGGACCAGTGACTAGTGGACAAAGGCACTATAGTGAAAGAATAACATACATTCCAAGGGACAGTCATTTCTGAGATGATCTGGGTTTGGGAGAAGCTGATGGAAAGCCAAACAGAAATGCTGAAGATGAACATGGCAGCACGGTACATGGCAAAGATCCCATGGCGTGGCCTGCTATTCAAGGAAGTGAACACATTTTCTGCTGTGATGGAGGCAGCCCAGGGTAACTTGTACCCTGTTTTCATGCATCCAGGTCTCTGTGGCACATTTTGTTTCGTGTGCCTGGGATGTCAAGTTGCAGCTGACATGAACGAATGCTGTCTTTGTGGAACAACTGTCGCAATGAGGACTCTCTACCGAACCCGATATGGCATCCCTGTGAGTCTCTTATGATTCCCTTATTGTTCAAATATGGTACCACATTCAAAATAATTGTGGTAAACATGGAGGCTGTTTGATGGTATACCTCATCTGAGATTGATGGGCAGGAATTCCCTAGCACGTGTAGCAACAGATGCTCTGATTATGTGATTTCCTTCCAGGTTTCTGCTGAAAACATTAGAGAACAATTAATTCTCTTTTTGCAATGTATGTAGTATAATGTAAGAAGATAATTTAGAACCTATTATGTCCCAAGTGCATTAGGTCACCTCACTAAATCTTCACACCATCCCTATAAGGTGGGTTCACAACATGTACAAATGAGGCCCAAAGATATGCCTTAGTAGTAGACTCAGCCACTAACGGTCCATGCATGCACCTTCCATTACACCTACTTCACTCTGTGCAGTGGAAGAGTTTATTATTTAAGGGTCTACAGAGCAACAAGCAATAGCATGAGCATGGATACATGTGTGTACATGCACATATATCTCTATATTTAATATTTAACAGAGAAAAATAGTGTGTGTATGTATATGTTTATATATATTTACATTTATATGCCTCCCTGTATATATGTGTATGTATATAAGGAGAGAGTGAGAACAAAAAAGGGAGAGATTATTTTAAGGAATTGGGTCATGCAATTATGGAGGCTGGCAAGCAATTATGCAATTATGGAGGCAGGCTAGAGACATGGGGAAGAATTGGAATTCAAGTCCACAGGAGGTGTTCTTGTGAAATCTTTCTTGCTAAGGGGAAAACAGTCTCCCCCCGCCCCCCCCCCCGCCTACCCACCCCTATTAATTTCATCAACTGATTGGATGAGGCCCATTATGGTCTACTGATTAAAATGTTAATTTCATCTAAAGAAATGTTGAGCCACCCAGGCACGGTGGCACATGCCTATAATCCCAGCAACTAGGGAGGTTGAGGCAGGAGGATTGGGAGTTCAAAGTCAGCCTCAGCAAAAGTGAGGTACTAAGTAATTCAGTGAAACCTTGTCTCTAAATAAAATACAACATAGGTCTGGGGGTGTGGCTCAGGAGTTGAGTGTCCCTGAGTTCAATCCCTGGTACCCAAAAAGAAATGTTGAGCCAAATATCTGGGTACCATGGCCTAGCCAAGTACCACAGGGAACAAATGAATAAGCAGATTCTTAGGAACTTATTTCATTCCATCAAGATTATTTTATCTTTTCGTTTAAAAATATTTATCAGTGTTTAAGTTACATGCTATAGAATTTTATGACAGCCAGGCAAGGTGATGCATGCCTTTAATCCTAGGAGCTCGGGAGGCTGAGGCAGGAGAATTCCAAGTTCAAAGCCAGCCTTAGCAACTTGGTGAAGACCCTAAGCAACTTAGCAAGACCTGTGTCAAAATTTAAAATTTTTGTAAAAAAAGGGTGGGGTGCTAAGCATGTGGTTCAGTGATTAAGTGCCCTGGGATCAATTCCTGGTACAAAAAAAAAAAGAGAGAGAGAGAGAGAGAGAGAGAGAGAGAAAAGAAAGAATTTTATTTCAAATTCAAACACAGAAGTATATAAAGTGAAAAGTGAACCTCTTTATATGCAATTTCATTATCTAGTAAAAAAACTCTATTAATAATTGACATGCATCCTCTTTCAGATTTTTTCTTATAACTCTAACTCATAAATATAGTTTAGATAGCTGTAGATATAGACATATGAGGGTTTTGCTCTTAGGAAGCTCTTTCATTTTGTTTTTGTTTTTTTAAATGGTTTCACACTATACTATAATTTTCACTATATTTTTCCCACTCAATAAATGGTAGACTCCTTTCATGTCAATAACACTAATTCTTTTTAATGTTTACACAGTATAATTTACTCAATCACTTCCTTATTGATTCATTGGGATTACAGGAGTGTGCCATTATGCCTGATTTGACATGACCTTTTAAAAGAAAAAATATTTATAGTTGCACATGGACACAATACCTTTATTTTAATTAATTTATATGGTGCAGAAGATTGAACCTAGTGCCGCACACATGCTAGGCAAGCCCTCTACCACTGAGCCACAACCCCAGCCCTGACATGACTTTTTAATATGAAAGTTATCAAGATGTTTAAAGGTCTAGTACATAATGCCTTTTAAATACTCCTTAGGGGTTTGAAGAATTAATAACCATCTGAAACTAAAATTTCAGCTGGTCTTAACAAAACTTTGGAAATGAAAAGAAGAAGAAATAGAAGTATCAGTCCTAAAGACTATATCTTGTTTGACATTGATAGAGAGATAAATATAAATACAAATTGTGGATAAAAATTTAAGGGTAATCATTAATTAGATAAAAATAAATTGTGATACATCTTAAAGGAAACAAACAGACCTGAGAAAGATCTATTCAACAGAAAGAATAAAATTTTATAATAAAATTAAAACCACACACGTGTACACACACACACACACACACACACACACACACACTCACACTCAGTAAATACCAAACAAAAAAACAATTTGGTCACCCATGGGTAGGATGGATTTAGATTTCTCTGCTATGATAACATGTCATTACCATTGGTTGGATATCTTCTTGTACCCTCAGAATTTCAAAGGAGAACATTTTGTATTATGAAGAAAGACGAGAGTGATACAGAAAAAAAGTCAGTGAACATTTTCCTGAACATATCCATCCAAACTGAATCTGAAGGATCAGTGCCGTCTGCTTTTCAAGATGCCTGAAAATCCACAGGTTACATTTCTATTTCTTTTGTGTTTTCCAACAGGGATCTATTTGTGATGACTACATGGCCACTATCTGCTGCCCTGTTTGTTCCCTTTGCCAAATCAAGAGAGATATCAACAGGAGAAGAGCCATGAATGCTTTCTAAAGAAGCTGGTGGTAAGTTGATACCAACACTCCTCCCAGAGTCTGTGGGGTTTAGAAGTATGTTTCAGGTTTTTGTAAATCATTTATTGTTGGAATAATAATTCAGTTATAACAATTCTTTAAGACTCCCAAAGTGCTATCTTAATAAAAGGTGGATTTTAATGTCTTCTTATGTATTCTCTGAGCCATATTTTAGTAAATAAAGGAATGGTGAGTTTTCTAAACTCCTTAGAATTATTTTGCTCAATTAGTGAAGCAATTACCACCTGTGAAATACCATTACCGTTGTTTCACCAAAGTATGGTGAAACAAAAGAAGTAGAAAATTCACTCCCTACTAAGACAAAAAAAAAAAAAAACTTGATGAAAGAAACTAATAATTATAAGATGGAACAGCAAATAAAAATTATAGATCTGGATCATTTTGATTGTGGCGTAAAGCATCTATCTAGTGAGGTAAAGCTAAACAGGTCAGACTGGACAGATACATCCTGTGGTGTCAGGCCAGACAAGACACACAGCCATCCACCCTGGTAGATTTCCAGATGTCTCAGGTCATTTGTGCTAGACAGAAACCCGAAAGGCCTCCTCAGCAAAATTAGCTTTGTTTGAGAACTATTTACACATATAGACATACTTCAATATATTGATTGATGGAATGACTAGAAACATGTACATAATCATATAAATGTTTCTGTATAAACAGAAGTTTATTCATATGTACACACAGCCCTATCTGCCCAAGTTGTGTGCCTCACTCATAGAATAAAAACTACATGTGCAGTATTTTATACAAATGTCTATAAACACAAATGTGTATTTCTAAGAAAATGACTTATAGACCTCAGAAAATATATCATCTTATAACTAAACATACAAATACCCCCAAATAAAAACATTAATAAACAAATATGAAAAATTAATAAACAAATATGAAAAAGCAAATAGAAAAACCATCCTTTTAGAGAAGGTGGACTTTGAAATGGGTGGATATAGAATTTAGAATATTTGAAAATGTTCTATAGAATTTCACCATCTAAAATTCAATCAAGTTTTTTTCCACTAATTTTCCCCAGGATTAGCTATCAAGGATGTAGTTAAGGAGAAATCAACAAAAATTTGTCAGTTACCTCCATAGATTACACTTTGAGTATAAGAAAAAACAATACTTTTTCCATTCTTTATACTATCGCACTTCCTGTCTGGAGTGAGGACTTCATGGAAGTTAACAAAAACAATTCTTGGGTAATACATTTTTTTTTTAAAAAAAAGCTCATTTGTTTAGCAAATAATGTGTCAAATATCTAATACTATATAATATATTGCTAGATGTTGTAAACAAAAATAAATTAACTGTTCCCCCTGTCTTTATAGATTTTGTACTAAAAAAGAAGGGATTAGTCAATCCCCCAAATACAATGAGGAATTTGATGCACACCTCTAGACAGAGTGCTGTTTTATGTTCAGAGGAAGAAGAGATCGCACTTCTGAGATGAATGAATGGAAGTTTCTTGAAAGAAGTGATTTTTAATTCTAAAGAGGAAGTATGTTATCTAACAAGAATAAGTGAAACCTAGACTGATAGGATTTAATGGAGGCTAATGCAAAGGTGCTGGTGGAAATGAATAGAGGGTGCAATCACCTGCCTGGCAACAGCTGGGTGGTTACCACCGCCTCCCCAGCCCAGGAGGCCAGGAGGGAGCAGTTACCTGTTCTCCAAGGAGAGAACTGAGTGAGGAGGTTGCCCTAGAGGAACAGTAACCACTCAACAGAGGAATAAGTGCGGCCTGAGTCAACCTCCCAGGATGGGGTCAAGGGAAGCTTTCTGTTGTCCTTGTGTGCTTCCCATTGGCTGAACCCATCAAAAAGGCAGAGGGCTGCAAAGAACTGCTCTAGGTCACGGGTCAGCTTCCTATGACCTACAGCAGGGTAGACAAGAGTGGAAGTGGACCAGATGGGGCAAACAGTATCACTGGCAGAAAATGTGAATAAAATTAATACATATGAAATGTTGCTTTTGATCAGCAACATTAGTGAATCCGTAGACCCCCCGCCCCCACAAAAAAAAAAATCTTTATGAGCTTAGATCCAACTTGCCTAGAATATATGGTATAAGTAGGAAAATATTGAGAAATACAAAAAATTGTTTTCTTTCCACATTTTTATTGGCACATAATAGCCGCACATAATGATGAGATTTATTGTTACATATTTGTCCATGCACACAATAGAACAATATAATTTAGCCAGTATCACTCTCCAGCACTTCCCCTCCCCCTCCCCCTCCCCTTTTCCAAATCCCTTAAAAAATACAAGATTTTTAAGAGGTAGTTGGGGCCTTGGCATATGATGTCTTGAATATCAAGTAAATGACTCAGTAAGCTTTGGAGAGTTACTACAGACTTCAAGTGAATAGAACTAACTTAAGAAATGATCAGCTGAGATTAGTATATAGTTGAGACTGACAGAATGAGGCCAGAAGCAAAAGTGTGGGCCACCCACCGCAACACTGTTAAATACAGAAAGTAAGGTGGGTACAATATGTATCCACACACATAATAATGAGTCCTGACATCTGAACTAGTTTTTGTCAACCACAGGGAAATCTCACTGAATCTTTGAATTGGTTTAAAGTAAATCATCAATTTGGACCCTACATTATTAATTGACACTAAAACTAGAAATAAAAATATCCAAAACAGAATCAAGAGACAAAGAGCAAAAAATGAAGACATATTAAAACACACCAAGATTTCCTCCACACAGCTAAAGAAGAGGAGGAGAGAAAGAAAGAAAAGGCAGAATAGATTGGGACAAAGGGACATAGGAACCAACTAAAAAGGCTTTCCATAGCCAAAACTGGAACAATTTGAGTAACAAAATAATATAGTATTCGATTGTAATCAACACTGTCATATTATCAAGAAATGTAAAATTTAAAATAAATATATATGAGGCCATACTAATATAAATAATTGAATACAATTAATTTCAAAAAAGGGTGAGTGTTGGGGCAGGGAAAATTGGAAATTTTGAGAGCGAAGAGGTGGCAGGAGGATTTCCCTATAGAAAAAAGAGTACAATCTCCCACATAGAACTCCAGATATTTGCTGTGCTGGTGGTGCATACCTGTAACCCCAGCTACTCGGAAGGCTGAGCCTGGAAGATCACAAGTTCAAAGCCAGCCTTAGCAACTTCTCAAGATCCTGTCTCAAAATTTAAAAAATAAAAATAAAAAAGGGCTTGGAGTGCAGCTCAGTAGTCAAACGCCCTAGGTTCAATTCTCAGTACCACAAAAGGAAAACCCCAAACCAAAAAAACCCCTCCAAGTATTTGTGTAGGTACCTCCTCCCTCAAAGGAATGGAACTTGATTCCCTTCCCCTTAAGTGTGGGTTTGCATAGTGACTTTCTTCCAAAGAACAATATGGAAAGCCAGGCAAACAAGCATACAAAGGAGAAACCTGAGAAAACTATCTCAGCCAAGTGATCAAAGTTACCTTCAACAGAGATAATCCATGTTGATGGATTGCAACACAGAAATGATGTTATGAGAATGATTCTTGACCTTTGTGGTATGCCTCCCAGAACTCCATACCTCTGGTCTAACCACAAGGAGAACAACAGACAAACTAAACTAGGGCACATTCTACAAAATACTTGACCAGTATCCTCAAATCCCAGAGACTCAGAAGGCGGAGGCAGGAGGATCATAAATTTGAGGCCAGCCTCGGCAAGTTAGTGAGAACCTCAGAAACTTAGCAAGACGCTGTCTCAAAATAGAAAAGACTGGAGATGTGGCTCAGTGGTAAAGCACCCCTGGGTTCAATTTCCAGTACCAAAACAAAAATAAAAACAACAACAAAAACATGTCAAAGTCATCAAAAACAAGGAAAATCTGAGAAATTCAGTTTAAAGGAGCGTAAGGGAATACAACAATTAAATGTAATATAGTATCCTGGACAGGATCCAAGAACAGAAAAAAGGACCTTAGGTAAAAACTGAGGAATCTGAATAAAGTATGGTTTGATTAATAATAATCTATTTGAGTTCATTAATTATAACAAGTCTATCATAGTAGCATATAATATTAACCAACAGGAAAACTGGGTGCAGTGTATATGGAAACCTTTTTATTATCTTTACAACTAATCATAAAATGATTCTGAAATTAAAAGTTAATTAAAAATTAAAGTATGGATTGAGAAAATTCAAAACTATTATTTGTATGTCCTCTCTAGGTGAAGAGCTTTTACCGAAGCAACTAAAATCAACAAACACCTCTTCAACTCGAGTTCTTCTCGTGAAATATGATGGATATGTTTACTTTATGATGATGGGACTCCCCAAAAATCAGATTTTTGATTTATTCTAAATAAATGTTGTGCATCAGCATAGTTTCTCCTGGCTCTCACACTATCAAATTTTCTGGCTTATAAAGTTTTTACATTACATTTGAAATGTAAACCAAATAAAGGTTTTATTAAAAAGACTCTTTGTTTTGTTCTGTGCATGTTGTGCTGGGGATGGAACCCAGGACCTCATGCATGCTAAGCAGGTACTCTATCACTGAGCTGCACCCCCAGCCCTTAACAAGATTCTTTTCTTTTTTTTTTTTTTTTTTTTTTTTTTTGGTGCTGGGGATTGAACCCAGGGACATTTGCCTGAGAGGCAAGCACTCTACCAATTGAGCCATATCCCCCACCCCTTTAGCAAGATTCTTTATGCTTCTTTGCTCTAAAATACCTTTGTCACTAGTTAATTCCAGGGATCAGTCTCATGATATTTTTCTTGTAGTTTAGTTGCTTAGTGGGAGATTTTGGTCCACCGTAACTCAGCTCTTTCATCTAAAAACTTCAGAGACCATTACGGCACATTGAGTCAACAATTTTGCTCCTTTTCATGTTATCTATAAAGTATGACTAATGTGAACATAGCAAGATTTTAGGCAAAGAACACCCTAGGCCTCGCTTCCCAACTGCATACTCAAGGGTTTTGTGTTGTTGCTTTTCTTCCGTTTTGAATATGAGGTATCAGAGGAAGCAATAAAAAAATTCATGATCAAATTCAGTATGACACAATTTGAGTTAAATATCGATGGGTAAATGTGTGGCAATTTTTTCCACATTTCTTATTCTATTTGATTCATCTGCAACATTTTGCCCTGAAGAAAAATCTCACTTAATTTCTCCTAGCCCTCCCCAACTTCTGAGTCTATTTCATTTGTTGGGGCAGGGGAAGTGGGGCAAAACTATCTACCTTATCAATTAATTGTGAAATTTCAGTGAGATGAACATCAAAGCCTGGAATTTAGTAAGCACTCAAGGAACACAATTGCACTGCCCCTCCGTTCCTCCCCGTGCCTCGCAGGGCTCAATCCTGGGTCCACCCTTTCATGCCATGTGTTCTTGGGTAGTGTCATCTATTCCCACAACTGCCTTCTGTAGGCCAGGCAGGATGCCAAAACCTGTATTTCCACCAGGCACAGGGGTCCCACATGTAATCTCAGCAACTTGGTAGGCTGAAGCAGAATGATCGAAAGTTCTAGGCCAGCCTGGGCAATTAAGTTCTAGGCCAGCCTGTCTCAAAATGCAAAATAAGAAGGGTTGGGGTTATAGCTCAGTAGTAGAGCACCCCTGGGTTCAATCCCTAGTACCACCAACATATCTATATTTCCAAAAATCTGGGGACATGGGTGACAGAAGAACTTCATCCCAGCTGAGGACCAAAGAGCCCTTGGTAACCATGAACTCATAGCTGTGCAGGGGTTTTGGAACTTCAGCTATCCAAATGGGATGAATTTACCCTAAGTCATTAAGTCCCAAGTTGTCAATTCTGCATTTATTTCAACAAAATTGACAGATGCATTAAAATAGGTTGTAAATCATAATCTAGAGTTTATATATCCTTTATTTATCATGAAGATCAAAAATGCAGATTGTCCTATATAGGACACTGGGACAATATATATCTTTCATGTGTGTGTGGGTGGGTATATGTATATACATATATATACCCACCCCCCCACACACACATATACATACATACACATATGTATGTATATATGCCATTTTGTGAATAGGACATTGGGCAGACATATCCTTTCATACACTACACAATATACAATAACTTTCATGATCTGTTCAACAATTAATTTTTGTAGAATGAGCAAAACACTTCAAAGGGTTAAGTACTTTTTTGACAATGTGTTGCTGGTTTCCCATGACACAGTTTGTTTTGACATCACTGGTGTTCTTGCCATTTGAGAATAATACAGTTTCTCATGTCAAATCTGATATCATCTTGGACCATAGTAGGTCCAGGGATATTACCCATTCTCATTTCACATATGCCGAGCAGATTTCTCTTCTGAAATCCAACAAATTTATGAGATTTTTCTTGTCTTTGTTCACAAATTTGTGAATAATCCGTGCATTTATGATACACATAACACAGATACCAACTATTCAAGTACACAAAGGCCCACATCATTTTTTACTTCAAATAGAAGTGGAGTATCTGGAAACCAACCAATCATGTTTATACACTGACACCATTGAAATTGTTACAGGTACCCACTATCTTTGGATGAGGCACAATGGCTTTCCTCTTCATTTCTTTTTTCCATCTTTGAATTTTGCCAGTTCCATTCTATCTTTCCCCATGCCTCCTTTGCTGAAAATAAAAATTTCCTTACATACACTGTCACCATATTATCAGATTCATGAACTGTAGAAAAAGAGGTTTTAAGAATCTAAGATGGTACTTTTCTTTCTTTTGTGATTTTGTATTTCTATCCAGCAGTAGAGTGTACAGAAAATATTATGGAGATGTCATTAATTTTCCCTCGTGTTTACATCTTGAGGCAGAAGTATCCACCTTCTACTTGAAGCTATAGATAATCAAAGGGTGGGCTATATGAGAAAACAACCTGGGCTATTGAAAATTATGTAAATTTTGAAAGAAAAATATGTCAAGAGCATGCTTTTTAAATTTATTTGAGCTTCATTTTGAAACTTTTAAAAACCCAACTATTTCACATTTGACTTATTAGCTCCAGAGAAGATATATGAATCTGTGCCCAGAGCAAGATCTTCTACTGCCTACTGAACAAGTCCATCTGGGAGTCCCTTAGGTCTTTACCCAACAGGTCCAACAATATCACTTACTCAGTTGTTCAAGGTGAAAAGTCCAGATATCAATGAACTCTCCACTGTCTCATCATGTCCTTCTGCCATGTCCCCTCATCCAATCAGACTCCAACTTCTGTTCCTTAAACGCCATTTGAAACCCCCAAAGGGTGATCTAATTTGCTACTGTGTCCTTAGTGTCTAGAAACATGACAGACACTTATGTACCTGCTCAAATTATTTATTGAGGGGATGAATCTGTCCTCTCCTCTTTGTCTCCATTGCCACAAATGCTGTCCTTGTGATCTCTTTGGCAAATGATGTTCACTGCCTCTGAACCAGTATGCCCGCCTCTGGTAATGCCAGCTCCCCTTGCCTTCTCTCCAATCCATCCTATTTAGTGTTGCATGAGTTAATTTGCAAATTTTCTTTTTTTTTTTTAAAGAAAGAGTGGGATGAGAATTTTAATATTTAGTTTTTAGTTTTTGGCGGACACAACATCTTTGTTTGTATGTGGTGCTGAGGATCGAACCCGGGCCGCACGCATACCAGGCGAGTGCGCTACCGCTTGAGCCACATCCCCAGCCAGCAAATTTTCTATAAAACATTTTTCTAGAAAAATGCAGCCTCAGTTTACCTCTTTAATCTACTCTTCTGCTGCTTCTCCTTTTTAAATATTTGTTTAGTCGTAGATGGACACAATACCTTATTTTATTTATTTTTATGCAGTGCCAAAGATCGAATTCAGTGCCTCACACATGCCACACAAACACTGTACCACAATCCCAGCCCTCCTACTACTTTTTTTGCTCTCAAAATTCCCAAATATTTCCTGCCTCCACTGCACACATTTTTAAAATTTCAGATTCCTATTTTTTGTTGCTGATATATAGGAAAGCAATTGACTTTCATCTATTAGCCTAGTTTCCTGTGATCTGCCACAAATGCTTATTAGTTTGAGAAGGTTTTGTTTTGTTTTTGATTATTTGGGGGTTTCATCTGCCAGGCCACAGAAGCAGTGACATCATTAATTTGTTTCCTTTGCTTTGTTCCTTACATGACCGGCATCCCAAGGAGCAGCTGTCATGGCATATACACAATTAAAGCTGCTTTCTATAGACAACATTCACTTGCCCTAGGTCCCAGCATAGTGAAGGAGTCAGTGTCCTTCTAGAGAGGCATTCTGGCTCTGGTTGCTCTCATGGTTTCCTGGGCCCGGCTAGGTCCTTGTGAACTGAGAGAGGCATTTGAGGGACCTGGTATGGAGTCTTTAAGGATGATAGGTCTATTTTTTCTGTACCTATTGGTATGATATGTGATTTTTCTTCTTTAGCCTGTTGATGTGATGGATTATATTAACTGATTTTTGAATGTCGAACTAGCTTTGCATACCTGGAATAAATTCCACTTGAAGATATATAGTTTTTTTTTAACTCATTGTTGAATTTGATTTGCAATTATTTATTATTAATTTTGCATCTATGAGAAATACGGGTCTATAGTTTCTCTTTCTTATAGTGTTTTCAATCTGGTTTGGTAAGACTGTCATCATAGAATGGGTTAAGAAGCAATTTTGTTGCTTCTTTTTTTTGGGGAAGCAACTGTAGAGAATTGGTATTTCTTTTTTTGTTTCAAGAAAGAGAGAGAATTTTTAATATTTATTTATTTTTTTAGTTTTCAGTGGACACAACATCTTTATTTTATTTTTATGTGGTACTGAGGATCTAACCCAGTGCCCCACGCATGCCAGGCGAGCGTGCTACCGCTTGAGCCACATCCCCAACCCTGAGAATTGGTATTTCTATCTTAAATATTTGGTAGCATTCATCAGTGAACCCATCTGGGCCTAGCACTTTCTGTTATGAAAAGTTATTGATTATTGATTGAATTTTTTTTCTTTTGGTACCAGAAATTGAACTTAGGGGCACTTAACCACTGACCCACAGACCTAGCCCTTTAGAGACAGGGCCTCACTAAGTTGCTGAGGTTGGCTTTGGACTCCTGCCTCAGCCTCCTGAGCCACTGGGATTACAGGTGAATGCCACCATGCCTGGGTATTGATTCAGTTTCTTCTACAAATATAGGCCCTTTCAGATTGTTTCTTTGTGTGTGAATTATAGCAGATTGTGTCCTTCAGGAATTTCATTTCACATAGATTATCGAGTTTATGGGGACAGAGCCATTCAAATTTATTATTTATGGCATCTGTAGTGATGACCCCTCTTTCATTTCTGATTTTAGTAATTTGTGTCTTTTCTCTTTTTTCTTTATCTTACCTTAGCTTGCAGCTTACCAAT